CCCAAAATTAGCTTCAATATGGAAAAAAACATGAGTAAATTCTAGTTCTTACCATTTTCAAAATCAAAATATGATCACGAATTAGTTTTGCCATTTACCAATGCACTACATACAACAACACATCCACTCAATTGAAATGTAACGAGACAACTGACAATATAAATATATAAATATTTTTGATAGGGTGTTCTTCAAAAGGGTGTTCTTCAAAAAGTGGTGTGAAACAGTATGTTTATTATGAAATGTACGGAGTGTTCGTAAAATTTTGTCATATCTTAATGGTTTTGTATAATTATATCTAATTGTTAATAGTTTGACCATGCGATCTTTTGCATAAATATATGTTTCTAAACTTATTAACTTCCAATAGGGTAAGTTATAGTAATCGTACAAAAAATCGAAAATGAAAGTTTTTATATATCTTTACGTTTCAGAGGTTTCTCAACAGTTTGGCATACCTTAAAAAAATTGATGTATGTGTGTGTGTGTGTGTGAGGTGTGAGTGTGCGTGCGGATACATTTTTGTCGACTATTTCGAGAAACCGATTTGTATGATTCATAGAACAATCGATTTCTATTTATGAAGAGATGTGCTGATTAATTTTTGTCAAAGGCGGTCCAACCGTTTCAAGATACGGGGAAAAAACGCCAAAAATGGCAATTCAGTTTTTGAGAGAACAAGCGTCCAATTTGAATGATTCGAAAACATTTTATTTTGTATTGATGAAATGAAGAACTGATTAATTTTTGGGAAAGGCAGGTCTAGCGGTTTCAAAAATCCAATAAAAAATGTTAAGAACAAATGCCATTTTGGTAGTCAAAATTAGACATTAGACATATGCACATCAAATTATCAGATATTTCATAGAGATTTTAACAATAAGTACAAATTTTATTTTCATGGACCGTATATACGGCTAAATATAAAAATAAAAAATAACAGGGAAAATGCCATGAGTATTAAGATTTATAAAAGTTTATAGTATTTAAGTAAACGGCTAGTTAAGAGTAATAATAAAGAATCTTCTAAAATTTTAAAATAAACATTTTTTTTCATTTTCAGAAGTGCATTTATTTCAATTTTACTATACTAACTCGATTCACAAGCGATTGCTAGTTTTTATAAGTAAGAGTTTCATGTAAGCTTGACTAGGACCTGAAATAACATTTAATATTAGTGACAGTTTACTTATAAGTAATTCAATAAATAATTTTAAAATATCGGTAACAAAGTTTTAGAGGGTCAATATATATAGTCGTTCACACAATCCTTGAAACGAATAATAATGAACCTGTAGAATAAATACGCCAAATTTAAAAATAAACTTCGTTGTTCAAAATATAATTAACGTATTTTGCATGTATTAACTCGCACCGTAAGAAATCATTTTTACCGAATTTTACGAATTATTCGAGATCATTTAATATATTAATATAATTAATATATTTAATTATTTACCCCACTATTCCTCCAGAGTGCAGGCAGCGGCAAAACAGGCTACAGCAAAGGCAGCGGCCTTCGCTCCATAGCTCAAGGCAGTGCTGACCAAGCCAACAGCGCTGTGGCCAATCAGCAGGCGGCTGCCAAACAGGCTGCTTATCAGGCCAAAAACCAATTGGCCCAAGCGGCTTCCCAAGCTGCGGCCACGGCCAAGCTGCTCTTCATGGTACGTCGAGATAGAAATAAGCAGTGTCCATAATTTGGTCACAATTTTTCATTTTGCAAGACTAGCGCACTAATCACTTGTGAATAGTTCTGCACAAGACATTTAATACAAGGATAAACACACTTTGTTTTCTTAATGAAATACTAGAATTTCAGTTCGTTCACGTCGAATTTTGAATTATAATGCACTACACACTTATATATACACAAACTTTAAACGCCAATGCCGCAATACATTCATCGAGGCAGTTCATTTAGATATAATTTTAAATTTTAAAAAATTTGATTAATACAACACAGAATCTTTTAGAAACCATAGAACTTAAATTTAAATTTAGTATTTACAATAGTATAAATTTTAGAATGCACTCCAATTTTGATCTGGTATCAGTTGTAAGTCCCAATTACTTAAAATCCACCTGAAATTATAAATAAAAAAAATTAGTCAATTTTTTTCATAAGGCACTTTCAGTAATAAAAATGGTTATTAACACATATAATTTTTTAAAGGTAAACAAGTGCTTTTAGAAGGATTAGAACAACAAAGTGAAGATGCTCATCATGCATTGGAAGCAGAAATTGCTCAACTTCAACAAGCGAAGAGATCTGCTAAGGCTGCAGCATATGCAGCTCAACAAGCTCTAAACCAGGTAAAACTAGCTGTCAGTGGAATTATGTCTTAAGGCAATTAAGGCATCGTGCCTTAAGGCAAATTGCTGGAACTTCCCGTACCAATAATTATTATTTTTTTAAAAACGATTAACATTTTTGAAAAAAATTTACTTTGAAAAAATTAGATTTTTGAGAAACTATATTTTCGACAAAAAATTACTTTTTTTTGAAAAAAAAATTAAAAAAAAAAATAATAATATTTTTTTTATTATTTTTTTTTTTGAAAACAAATTTTTTTTTCTTCATTTTGACATATTGTGGAAGATCTGAACTTTTTTTTTTAAAGCAATCGTACTGCTTTAACTGCATAGGGACAAAATATAACGCGTAAGCGTCGCTGTCTAACGCATAAGCATTGGTACGGAACCCATAGGAATGTTAACAAAATGTATACTTATTGTTAAAATCTCTATAAAATATCTGATAATTTCATGTGCATATGTCTAATGATCATTTTTGACCGCCAAATGGCTCATTTTTTTACTTTTTCCTCCATATCTCCAAAACCGCTAGACCTGCCTTTATGAAAATGTTATCAGTTATTCATCTTGTTAATACAAGTGAAATGTTTTTTGAATTATTCAAATCGGACGCTCCGTTCTCTTAAAAACTGAGTTACCGTTTTCGGCACTTTTTGCCCCGTATCCTTGGAACGGCTAGACCTGCCTTCGCCAAAAACTAATCAGCACGTCTCCTCATCAATACGAATCGAATGTTTTTTGAATTATTCAAATCGGTTGATCCGTGTTCCCGAAATCGTCGACGAAAATTTGTATCCGCACATACATACACACACGTACATACATACATACACAACACATACACACACACACACACACACACACACGCACACATACATCCATTTTTTCTAAGGTATGCCAAAATGTTCAGAAACCTCTGAAACGTAAAGATATATAAAAATTTTCATTTTCGATTTTTTTGCGATTACTATAACTTACCCTACGGGAAGTTAAAAATATATAGATAAAAATCGTATATAATTTTTCTGGTAGTACCAAAATGCTAGCATATTTTTATGGATGAAAGGATATATAAAGAAAATAATAATTATTAATAAATATTATGTTCTTTAGAACTTCTATTTTCGACCTGGTGAATATGAAGGCCCAACCGTAAAACTATATAACAAACGTTTATACTTTTTTAATTGCCTTCTTGTCAAAGAATTAATTGATTTCGTTCTCCCCAACCTATATTAAAATATAATATTTTTTTGCTTTTACAATAATTTAGAACTGCTAATTATTAACGTAAGATCTGCTAGTGTCAAAACGTAACACAAAAAATCTTAGTATTTTATAATTATTTTATTATCCACTTATTAGGTCCTGTGACGTAAAAAGCCCAAGAACATATATAAGAATAAATAATTTCATTGCTAAATCAAACTGAATAAAAACTCATTCATTTGTCGCTAAGTTGTACCTAAAACATTTTTTTTAATTTTCAAAATTTTTTCCATGCTCTTTCCATACCAAGTTTGATTGAATTGCGCTCTATCTGAACGTTAATATTAAGAGCTAAAACTTTCAGAGAATTGTTTTTTATCAATTTGGAACCATTTGAGCCCCTGGGAGCAAGAAAATTCGAAAATGACCATTTTAAGGACCACCCTAATATATATATATATATATATATATATATATATATATTACTGTTATCCCATGGTAGTAAAAAATCAACGTATCCTTCTATTGGTCCAAATTAGTTACAGTGATGGACCAAAATTTAAAGTCCAATTACACAAAATCACAATCTCTTATTCCAATTAGTAAAACTGTCCAAATTACATACTTTTCAAAGAAAGTATATGTTTATACCAAATATAGAACACAAAAGTTCTCTTTCGATGCATGTCGTGGGTACCTTTTTCTAGGTCTCCACGCCCATTTGAATTCGCCCAAAATAATTATACCAGTCAAAAATTCACTTATGTCGAATCACAAGTGTGAAAATACAAGCTTTCTACATACTCACTTTATAAAAATAATTGTAGCGTTTAAGTTCTAATTCACTAATAACTTTCACGCGCCGTTTGGTTAACAAGCGAATTTAATAATCGTAGTCAATTCAGTAAATTATATAATAAGATTTATATATTTATTACACATTTATTTTCACTTTTATTCAAATTAATGATTAATTGCTATTATTATAAATATCGGTCATAAATACGATGATGTTGCTTTATTTTTAATTGTATTTAATAATGAAATGAAAATGAGAAGAGAAATTTGTTGTATGATTTGGTGAGGTTTATTTATGATCTATTTAATTAAATCATTGGAAACAAAATCGTTAGTTTTACAATAAATGCAATAAAGTAATTATGTAAAGATTAAGAACGAGATAGACGGTTTATAACGATGATAAAACGATGCTGATGATCTTCACGGTTTGGTTTAATATTGAATATGCAACTTGCAAATGTTCGTAGCCATCACGACATTAAAAAAAATTATACTTAATTTCATTCATCCATCTGATGTTTGACTGAATCCTATTGAATCCGATTAAATACTTTAGTCTTAATTTGACCCCCAAAAGAATGTTTCATAATTTTTTAACTGATCGAGTGAGTTGTTAGATAATTTAACCGAATTCAACCGAAGTTACAAAATATCATGGATAATTTTATTTATCCGAATTCAAAAAATGACTCATTGCTTGTTTCTAGTTAAACGGCAAAATTTTTTAAGATGTATTCAGTCGGCAATTGTTAGCGCTTGATTTGACTTAATACTACGTCTGTTTTACAGACGGCAACCCAAATATTTGTCTCATCTCTTGATACATTTTATTATTACAATTTCGATAATAGGGCAAATATTTTATTGATGCAGTAATACCGGATAAGGCTATTTTCACTTGGAAACATATTGCTATCTATATTTTCAAATAAAAACAGATGTCACTACAGACCGGTACCAGGCTCCGCGCAGCGGGTTCGACCCTGGAACTTCTGATTCAGGTCCAGTCGCTCTAGTCACTTAACCACCGTATATAAACAAATACCAAGAATATTTTGTTCCTTTACTTACTAGATTACTATCCATAATCTAGATTCCTCAATATCAGAATATTTGTTTCCTACCTACCTAAGTGGACTAATTTGGACCACATACTACTTCAACTAATAATTTTAATAAAAAAAAATGTATTTGATTTAGGTAAATGTGATTACTGCTGCTTTGAACACTGCCCAAGCAACTGCTGAACACAGCCAGCAAGCTGCCCAAGAAGCTGCCGCCGAAATGGCCTCTCAAACCGCAATGGTTGGAGCTGCCAAAAACCGCGTTGAACACATTGACGAACAATTGCACCAAGCTAGAGTGGATTTTCAGGTAACAGATAATAAATGCGATAGTGAAGTAATATCAATTTTCCAGATAGAAACCAAGTTTATTGTAAAATCAAAGAAACCATACTTGATGCAAGAATAACGTCGTGGCATCGGAGAACGACCTTTACATTAGTAAAGAAATAAAATAAATTTTATGAATGTTGAAGATCTATCATGAATGTTAAGATAATTCTTCCAGGCCCAATGACGTATTGAAATCATCAAAATTGTTGGCGGTCAATAATAAATGCAAAAATTTATTTCCCTAAGTTAATTCTTCCTTCTTCTAGGCAACTCAAGAGGCAGCCCAAAACGCAGCTAATTCGGCTCAAGCTGCCCAGAACAACGCAGCTGAGGCAGCTGTTCACGCCACCGTCGGATTACACGAAACCAACAACCAAGCTGATCTCCATCAAGCATCATATGAAGCCGAACAGGTCAGCTCTTATTATGTCAAACCCAAGGTAAACACGAAACACCAAACACGAACTTTTGTTCATTTGACTAATAAATCATTTTGTTTGAAGTTTCAGTAACTAATTTTGATACATGATCACCTCATCAAAAAGCACTAGGACAGAATGGAAGTAAAATAATATTGAGTCGAATTTAAAACAGTTTGATATATAGACAATGAGCACATTTAGCTAATTTTTCACATAAACACTGAACATTTTCCAATTTATGAGAACTATCATAACATGAGAACATTTTTCTATTATTGCATGAGCAGCGATCAGAAGTTAAGGTTTCTATGAGTTGTTTTGATGATTTGACTTAACTACGTCAGTTTTATAAATGGCAACCCAAAGAGTTGTTCCATCTCTATGAGATGATTTTTTTTATAAGTACAATTTCTGTAATAGTGAAGAATTTTGTATTGAAGCAGGGTAAGGGCTATTTGTATTTGGAAAACATATTGCTATCTATATTTCCTTGTGAAAACCGATGTCACTACTGTTTGACATCAGGCTACTCGAGGCTGGCATCAAACCAGAATCTTTAATTAAAATCCCAAAGCTCCAACCACTGACTCATAGAAGAACCCAAGAGAACAAGCAACCATTGACCACATAATTAAAGAAATTAGGCTTTTGCATAGTTTAGTGGTTGGAACTATGGGCATCCAATCAGAAGTTCCAGGTTTGATGCCTGCCTCGGACAGCCTGATGTCAAGCAGTAGTGAAATAGGTTTTTGTTTGAAAATATTGATAGCAATGCTCCTAAGGAAAGATAGCGCTTTCTTCAATAAAAATTCCATCAAATATTTATTGTTTAAGTATTGGGTTGTCTTCGACAAAAGCCACGTTATTAAGAATGTCACTACAACCTAACTAAGAACTACTAAGTTCTGATTGCTGTTAATAATGAAAAATATAAATATGAAAAAATGCTTATATATAAATAGCTCTAGTTTTTAGAAACCTGAACTTACAGTTTGGGTAACATTAATTATCAGAGATTGTGATGCTATGTTTTGTTCTCCCTAATCAATATAATTTAATGTTTACAATTAAATTCAACCATTAAAAACAGTGTCTTCAGAAATTCTGAAGATTCGTTTATTCAAAAACAATCACACACCATACAATAATTCAATAGTTTAGCTTATACTGATCATCGATATTGTCAATCTTTTAGCATTTACACGCCGTTAGTGAACACTCAGCTGAAGCAGCTAACCACAACTACAACTATAAACCTGCTCCAGTTTCCCAAAAGCACCACAAACAAAGCATCATCATCCAACACCACCCTCACCTGATGCCAGGATACTGACTTATCGAACAAGGAACCAAGAAGCATAGTGACCAGAAACATGATAGTTCTTCAAAGTACTATATGTATGCAATGTAAGAATCAATCGAAATCAATATTGACTAAGATTTTATTAACAAATTAATTCAAAACATTTAATTTCGTTTTTTTTTTAATTTCAGAATAACCCGGTGAGATCAATTAGTGGTTATACCATCAAACAAGCTCTTAATATTAAAAATACGTAATATAATCTCATTATATTAACTTTAATGTATTTTGTGCAATAACTTACTGGTTAAGATAATTTTCAATTGATTTCCATCAACTGAAATTTAACAGCCATTATCAAATGTATTGTTTAACGACTCTACTCATCATTTATTGGTATTAATATTTTCATCATTTTTTGGCATAAATATTTTTCATCATTATTTATTTTTTCATGCATTTAATTCGATTTTATATTGACGTTGTGTAGTAAAAATACACAAAATTATCATTTTAATTCTAAGACTTAGGTTTAACTATATGCTTAAGAATTCATAAATTTGTTGATTTTATAAATTTTATAAAATACGTTTTTGTTAATATTTGAAGCACTTTTATCATGTGTGCCAATTTTATTCTGTAACTAGTAAGAATAAAAATTAAAACCATATTTTATTAAAAAAAATTGTTTCAATTATTTTCTAAGGACAGTAATATTAGGTGAGACGAACAAATTCAGAATCAGATCTCAAGAGTATTTAGTTTTATAAATACAATGTAAAATACAGTATATAAGAGGAAATTAAGAGTATGATAAAAAAAATGAGTAAAGCTACTCTAAAATTAAATTTGTAGACAGAAGTTGTATGTGAGACAATTTTTTACCTTTTGTTGAAGTTTTCTCAAAAAAGGCTGGGCCGATTTCAAAATTTTATAAGCAATGCAATGTAACCTGACGTTGGTCAGTTTACTGCAATGATCGGCTAAGTCGTTTCTTTGTAATTAGATAAAAGCGTGAAATTTTTCGTCCACGTTTAAGCCCACAAACTTGAATCGACTTTAAAAATTAAAAAATTATCCGAAAGATATAGGTTGGGAATCGTGTGATTATCATTTGGTAAAGTCGGCTGGGCGTTTTTTCGTAATTAACCCTCCGTCGGTCGGATATTTTTTCACCTTCGAACGGTCGGAAAGGTCTGGCTAGACCACCATTCATTTTACATGCATTTATATGGATAAATGAGTTTTTGGTGTCTTATATATTAACGATTATCAGTAGTAAATATTTATAGTTTTGATTTTTTCTTTTTCTTACCGTCTTTTGCATGTGTTGAGCTTGCTTATAATAAAAATATTACATATTTCATTATATAAAAAAAATCAAGAAATATAAGAAAATCGTTGCTTTTTTGTTAATTTTTCTGTTTTATATCGATGAAAAACAATATTTATTCTTTTTCGGCGCCTTTGAAATGAATGTGAAATTGAAATGAAAACGAAATGAGGTGCGTCGCCTTTGAAATGAGCTGTAAAACTCAAAGTGAAAATATAATTTCACTACAGGTTTGCCAAAAAAAACAATTCGAACGCAGTACGGATAGAAAAATTGTTGATAATGTGTGCATTACTCATCCGATTTTCAGTGTTTGCAATTACCAATAAGTTTGGTAGGTTTTCAAGGAACTCTCGTCATGAAAATACTAACATTCATGTTACAATACATAACAACGAATATATACAACGCAGTTTGAATAGAAAATACCATGAAAAAAGACAAAATATTGGTTTACATATATCAAAAAGCGTATATTTCATACAAAATGTATGGGTGGTCTAGACAGACCTTTCCGACCGTTCGAAGTATAAAAAAGTTAATATCCTTATAAGTATCCTTCTATACATGTTTTCGTCCTGATTTTTTCATTGATCGACCTCTAATGAAATTTTAGGAAAAGTCAAGAAATTTCAAGTCGATAGGATTACTAGAAGTATTTTTCTTTTTTAATTGAAGTCGAAAAAAGTCTGGCCAGAATTTTGACGCTCTTTGGCATAGATTGTGAACATCTATAAGTTCGTGTTTCGTAGGTAGTTACTGATTATAGTTAACGTTCACACTTAAATTGAATATAGTTAAGAAGAAATGGATTAAATAAAATGTGTTAAACAAATTGATTAATTTACGCAATTAAAGATATCATAATTGATTGATTGAGTGAATGCGCTAATATTATTTTCGAAATAATCTTTTGAATATTCTACCTAAATACCCAAATCTCAATTCTTATCAATTGGTTATGTATATGTGTCGGGAAATTAATGCAACTTGCCTAAAGGCTAAAATGCTACTTACAGCCAGCAGAATTGCTAGTTTTTCTCCTGCGCATGTGAGGAGTCTCTTGATCGAGTTCTTCTGGAAGAACGAATTTGCGCCAGGCATCCCGGGTCTGCTCGGCCGCCGTGACTGCAGCATCCCTGCAATTCATAGCAGGACGCAACATGGTCCAGGCTCCAAATATAGTTGGCTGTTGGGAGCAGATCTTGCACATACCTTTCAACAAAATGAATAAAACTAGCTGTAAGTGGAATTCTGTCATAAGGCAATTAAGGCATCGTGCCTTTAGGCAAATTGCTGGAACTTCCCGTACCAAAAAATTATTTTTTTTAAAAACGATTAACATTTTTGAAAAAATTTTACTTCGAAAAAATAAGATTTTTGAGAAACTATAAATTGGACAAAAAATTACTTTTTTTTGAAAAAAAAAATTTTTTTTTTAATTTATTTTTTTGAAAAAAATGTTTTCTTTATTTTGACATATTTTCGTAAAGCAATCGTACTGCTTTAACTGCATAAAGACGAAATATTAAAGCGCGTAAGCGCCGCGTCGCCGTCTAACGCGTAAACATTGGTACGGAACCCATAGGAATGTAAACCAAATTTATACTTATCGTTAAAATCTCTATAAAATATCTGATAATTTGATGTGCATATGTCTAATGATTATTTTTGACCGCCAAATGGCATTTTTTTTTAATTTTTTTTACTAGATCTCCGAAACCGCTAAACCTGCCTTTATAAAAAATTTAACAATTCTTCATCTTGTCAATGCAAGTAAAATGTTTTTTGAATTATTAAAATCGGACGCTCCGTTCTCTTAAAAACTGAGTTACCGTTTTCGGCACTTTTTGCCCCGTATCTTCGGAACGGCTAAACCTGCCTTCGCCAAAAACTAATCAGCACGTCTCCTTATCAATACGAATCGAATGTTCTTTGAATTATTCAAATCGGTTGATCGGTGTTCCCGAAATCGTCGACGAAAATTTGCATCCGCACATAGATACACACACGCACATACACACACACACACACATACATCCATTTTTTCTAAGGTATGCCAAAATATTTAGAAACCTTTGAAACGTCGAGAAATGCAAACATTTTCATTTTCGATTTTTTGCGATTACTATAACTTGCTCTACGGGAGTTAACTAACGCTTAAGTTGAATTCGAAGTATCTGAACGTCGGGCAGATTTAAGAATTTTTTCAAGATTTAAAAACAAGTATATATGAGTAAGATGATATATATGAGTTTATTACCCAATGATATTATACAGTGCAGTAAACGGAGCGTTTTAGGTCTGAATTTTTTTACTGTGCTCCGAATCGAATGAAATTTTGGAATTGGGTTCATCTTACCCTCAAGTTCAAAAGTGAAAACAATTCGGGTTGCGCCATCACCCCCCGGGGGGATGACACCCCCTCTCAATTGTGTAATTACATTTTTTTAAAATAACTTCGGAAATCGATAGAAAAACTAATAAGAAAAAAATGACTTCTATAGTTTTTCAAAAAAACTAATACTTTTCAAGTTACTGGCCACTAAAGATTCATATATTTTTGGCGTTTTTCTTCGTTTTTTTTGCAAATATCTCCTAAAATATATATTTTAACAAAAATCATGTAATGAACAAAATAATGTCAATAAAAAATCTTAATAAATCGGTATTACATTAAGTGTCCTAGGAAAATATTAAGCAAGATTTGGAAGAGCAAAGTCGTTTTTTATTTCGTTCAAGATTTAATTGTTGTATTTAAAGCCATCTAGTGTTGAGGTTTTACATTTCATGCATTTCGGTGAAATTGGGTTTTGTAGTGCTCACATCAGATTCACTACTTTAGTACAAACTATTTTCAGAAAACTCACGATTTTATAAAAACTTTTTTTTCTAATTTGCGCGGCCGCACAGTCTTTAAACATTCATAACTCTGTCAATTTTTGTGTGAAAGAAAAATAATAAAAAACAATAATAAGCCAGAAAGATCCCTTTGATTTTTTATCTATATTCTTTTATACGTATCTTTTATTCTTTTTGAGATATAATGAAAATAATTTTGATTTTTAAAAATATTGGATTGGAAATATTGGAGCCGATATGCAATAAATTTGCCAGAGTTTGTTAAAAATGTAGACGGTAATGTATCGATTCTCACATACTAGTAAATTGATGTATATTAGTTGTAACAGCAAAAATAATTTTGTTGATATGTGCTATACTGAAACTGATTCGATATATGCTATACTGACCCATGTCACTAATTATCGACCATATTTGAAAGTAATTAGAAAACTATTTGATATTTTAGCAAATATTTTTCGCAATTAATGTGTTTTTGATTCATCAGACTCAACATCTGACATAATTGTGAATATGGTTTTCTTCATGTTATAAAATCACAGAAACATTACTAAAGGACCGATACTGCCGTAAAATAGACCAATGCCATGGTAAGGCCATGTTAAGTAGCAGTTTTCATATAAAGTGGTACTAAAAACTGTCAAAATCTTATGTGCAGTCAGTTTTAGATAGAAAACCTGAGCTAGAAAACGCACAAATGTCAAAAAACGATAACTGAATCTTTGAAATGGCTTGATCACATATGAGTGAAGTTGCATTATATGTGTAAAACGCTTAATTGCACCGCAAATGCATGCATGGTCAATAGAAAACATATGAGGAATAGCAGTCCGTA